TTTTTTCTTTTTTCCTCAAGAGGGCTGTTGGCATGTTGTGTTGTGGTTTACAGCTAGGCTGCGATATCTGCACCTTTCGCCCAAAGACATCCGATAGCAGTAAAGTTCCATTTATCCTCCCCGCGACGCTTCACTCGATCATAAACTATTCGTTGATGACAGAAGCTGTTAACTAAGACTGTTTACAGTCCAGTTTACTTTGGATGGACACGGATGCCAAGGTCATTTACCATTCGTCCCTTCGGAGACGGGGAGATGACGGGTGGGGGTTTTTATTTCCGCTATTTGTGAATATAGAACGGACTATTACTGTGGGTTCCATCACTGGTTAGGTGATGGAGTTTTTTTTTCTTTTTTCTTTGTTGTGAGCTCAATTACACTAAACAGTCTTCGGAGAGGGAGATATGACTGGGTGGAGGGGAGAGGGACGGGAGTGAGGGTTATGACAGACACTGTTAGCTGAGAGCTACTTTCTTTCTTTTCCATTTCACCATTCGGGGCCACAGTAACGCGTGGCAGGACACAGCTAGTTCCCTATATTCTGCGCAGGCACCAGTTAAAACGTGTGTAGTTTATTTGTAATCGCCCTTGTTGTTCTCCGTGATTCCGCTCATACAGGATTACAAACTTGACATTTTACGATAATGCTCAGTATAAATCCTTGAATACGCTGATTGAAAGAGAATCCGAAGTTGCGAACAACACTTGGCCGCACCCCAGGGCAGTGTTTTCCCTGGTCAAGCCTACTTCACATAATGGCGGCCATGTATTAAACGACTGACTGACTGACTTTCTACCCCACCATATTTATGGCCTGCCTATATTGCGGCCCCTGGCAAAAAGCCAGGGTAGGGCTTCAAATAACAAAACATTATTTTTTTTCGTCCTAAAAAGGCGAAACTGGATAAAAACAGTTATGATGTATTAAACGGGTTCGATACCTTGGGCATTTGGGCTTGGAGTTTAATCTTCTTCCCGAACTTGAGTTTTGCATGCACGTCTGTTTTACATATCTTTTTTATTTGTATAAAACTGCTAGTTCCTCGACTCTTCGACAGATGCACTTTGAATTAGAAGCAAACATCCCATCTTAGTGTCTTTTCACGATGTTCTTGTGGGGGAAAGGGGGGGGGGGGGGAGGAGACATCTTCCACGCCCTTCCCCATGAAGTACTGGGGTTCCTAAACTCACACGTGAAGGTTAGTGCGATTAACGATATATTTTTATGGTGTTTCAAATGATTCACAAAAAACATACCCCCTCCCCCTGAAAAAAACAAAAAAAAAACTCATTAATTAAAGTTAGATTATTATTTCATTAAAATAAAAAAGTCGAACTTGTACAATTTGTAAACAAATCCCTTATATTGATTCCATTCCCGCCTGTAAAGGGAGAGTACTACAGCGGTTAAGACTTTAAGTTGAAAGATTTCGTTATGTCCCGTGATAACAATCAATGATCAAAGGAAGGTAGTGCCTGAGAAAGATTGTCTAAATGGAAACCTTCTTCAAAATCTATTAATTTGGCTTTAACGAAAGCCGTCATTACATCATTTAGATTACAGTTAAATAGATAACAAGAAGGCGTGTAATGCTGCACATTTACAGTGAACTTTAGATAAGCTGTTAAGTACAGGGATGAAATAGGTGAGGCAAATACGAAGACACGGTTTGTTGGATGTGAATCCTTTATCGAAGCGTTCTTCAATCTTGACGACCGGGAGCATAGGGGAATTATATCAAGGCCTGGCTGACCACTGAGAGAGAAACAAAATTAAATGTAGGGACAGACAGACAGACAGACAGACAGACAGACAGACAGACAGACAGACAGACAGACAGACAGACAGACAGACAGACAGACAGACAGACAGACAGACAGACAGACAGACAGACAGACAGACAGACAGACAGACAGACAGACAGACAGACAGACAGACAGACAGACAGACAGACAGACAGACAGACAGACAGACAGACAGACAGACAGACAGACAGACAGACAGACAGATAGACAGATAGACAGATAGACAGATAGACAGATAGATAGATAGATAGATAGATAGATAGATAGATAGATAGATAGATAGATAGATAGATAGATAGATAGATAGATAGATAGATAGATAGATAGATAGATAGATAGATAGATAGATAGATAGATAGATAGATAGATAGATAGATAGATAGATAGATAGATAGATAGATAGATAGATAGATAGATAGAAAGATAGATAGATAGATAGATAGATAGATAGATAGATAGATAGATAGATAGATAGATAGATAGATAGATAGATAGTGTTCACGTACTTGAGCCTCAGCCTGTATAAAAAAGTACTTCACATCTTCAGGTGAAGTGTGCAACGTCATTTATTTATCTTGAAGATTGTGTCTGCTCGGAACGGTGCTTTATAAAGCAGTTGACTTTACTGTAGAAGGGCTTCGCACCAAAAGCGACAGCATATTTACCTGTTTATTTTTAGTTGTCAGTTCAACCTTTGCAATTGCTTCAAACCGTCAGAGCTCTAAACTCTACATCTGTGATTCCCAAACTGTGCACCATGGCGACCCGGGGAGCCGCGACCTCTTCAAAGGTGCGCCGTGAAAAAATGTAAAAGCTTCTTAATTAATTTAAACAAAACATTTTGCCTAACTAAAGAAAAACGTAAGGAGCTAAAATTATGTTTTATTTTTAGAATTTGTTTTTTTTTTAAATTTGACCCTGTATGAGAATAAAGGCGCTTGTACAGAATATCCTTGCGAACGCTGCGTCTTCTCAATCGCGCTAAATGATCGCACTAGACACGTCGAGATGTGTAGATTCTTCGCGACAGATTTAGAATGTTTTGGAAGATCTTGCGAAAAGTATAAAAGTAAGCGTTACATTACTTCTTGTTCGTTGATTTTGATAGATAATTTTGTATCTTTGATTTTTGAACAGTAACAAACGAATGTGGCTAAGTCGATGCGAACGCTTCGTAATGCCGGGGTACCGGGTTCGATCCCAGGGGGCAATGGCAAATTACTAGACGTAAATTTGCCTAGTGAAACCACACAACAGCCAGGGGCTGATGGGGTTGGTTCTGCAACGTCCTGTAAAGGATGCGCAACTAACAAATAAACGAATAGTGCAATAAAAAAGCAGACAAACTAGCTCGAAGCGGCAGTGACATGATGCGGTCAAAGTGTGACCGAGCCCACCAAGAGACTAAGACATTTTTACAATCTAGTACCCTAAAAACATGGCTGGATACCACATGAGACTTTCTTCAAATAACTCACATCAAGGCCCCTCAAAAGAAAGATATTGTGTCATATTCAGGCTTAAAGACAGAATACAACAGACTTTGTGAACGTATTCTCACATTTTTCCGCCTAGGAAACACGGAGATGTGTCCATGCAACTTGGAACCAGAACAATTTGGGGCATATGCTCACACACCGTAGACTGTATGCTTAGAGAGAAGCAATCTGGCCTGTTCCAATCGCAATGAAGTCAAAGTGGTGTGGTACACGAAGAGATGTGGACTGTACGACAGCTTTCACAAAGGCTACCGGCCTTCTGGTGTTAAGTCTTTTGACAGAAGGATCAAAGGAGGAAAAGACTGCACATTACCAACTTTTGCAAGCAGACAGAAATATCACCAAGAAATCAATAAGTAGATTGCAAGGTTAACCGGCTGCAAATCCGGCTGATTGTCCAGGTTGTTTGTCTTGTTCTATTCGTTCGTCTTGTTCCAGGACTTTCATTCTAAATCCGCGTCCGTTTTACATGTATGGGTTATTTGTGTGAAGACTGTTGATTCCTAGCCTTTCAGGCACAAAGTTCGACTCGGTTTGGAATGGCACCGAAGATGTTTGAGGATCCTTGCGTGAATCAAAACGGTACGCAGCGGCAGCTTCCTTAAAATGAACGTGATGATGATGATAACATACAAGTGGAATTAAATGAAGAAATGAAGATCAAATGTCAAACCCCCCCTCCCCTCCCTCCCCCTTCCCCCATCTCGAGATCTTACATCATAGGCGCAAAAAGAAACATCTCATACAAACAATGTTTTTTCCTGCACGATGCTATCAGTGCCAGACGTGTCCACTGACAACAAACGATACAAGAACATTAGTAACCATGGAGTGAATAGACGAGTTAAAATCAGAAATGGGGCCATTCTAAAACAAGCAGGCACAGAACCGATTCTAAATTTCATACAAGGACACCACATTAGGTGGTTTGCCCACTTAGAGACTATGTCTTGTGACGGAATACTATTCACGGTGTGCTGGAAAAAAAAGGAGAGAAGGAAGTAGAGTACAAAGTAGATAAAGAACAAGATGAAAATAAAACATCAGAGAGCAACTCTAGCACGGTATCTGTGATCGAGACGGCGACATCAGCAAGAAGCAGAACCTTATATCTCTCTCGACAACTAAAGCGAAAGTAAAGAAGATGAGAATGTTAGCGTAATGGGTCTATTTTTTATCATCACATGCCACACTTGACCATGTTGTGCTTTGTTACACATTATTATCCTTGCCCAAATACAATTCTGGGAGTCGCCGTGGTGAGGTGGGTAGACGCGCACATGCAGATCGGAAGGTCATTGGTTCGCTCCATGGCAGAGTCTTTTTTTTTTTTTTTTCAAAATGACCTTAGCCCCCAAGTCGACCCAGCCTTGAGTGGGTACCAGATCCAGTCCCGGGAAATGAAGCCTTAATACCCATCTTGTGGCGACTGATCTATAAAATATAGGTCTAGCCCTATATGCCTTGAAGGCGTGGAAAATGATCCGCTACTTTTTTTTTTAAACACAACTCCTACAACAAATTAGGAAAGAAAAAAAAAAAAACTGTAAGAGATAAGACAACATAATCGTGACTTTAACGGTGAGGGTTTAATCTCTACTGCCTCAACTGACAAACAGTTACAGTGTATGTAATTTAAGGTTTGGATCACTTGACCAGGAGATTAGCCACTAAATGCAAACTCTTTCTACACTGTTACAGGTTCGCCCTCTTGCGACCTCCACCGTGCAAATGCTCTAGCGTCTCCAGTAGGACTATCCAGTACCTGCAAATACAAAACGACTGTTATATAGAAGCTTATCGATAATTATTGCCAGGATTCTAAACTGTTGTATATATATATATATATATATATATATATATATATATATATATATATATATATATATATATATATATATATATATATATATATATAAATATATATATATATATATATAAGATTATCAGAATATCTTAGACGAAAAAGAGGAGAAATACTGACAACTTGAAAGATCTGAACATTAAGGAAGATTGGCTAATAAACAGCATCCTGTCTCGGAAGCTAAAATATTTTGGTTAAATTAAGCGCCACGATGAATTGGAAACAATTTATAGCAGAGGGCATGGTACCAGGAAAGAGGAGCAGGGGTCTCTCGCCAGTTCTCCCACCTCATGAACTTTCACACTGAAGGAGTCACTTATATCCTGTGCCCATCTTCGTGTCGGATGGCCCCTGCCCCTCCTTCCTTGTTTTCCAATCCGTCGTCGCGCTTGATATGACCAAAATATTTCAGCTTTTGGGAAAGGATGCCGTTTATTAGCGAATCTTCCTTGATGTTCAGATCTTTTAAGATGTCAATAATTCTCAATATCTTTGTTCAAGATATTCTGAGAATCTTTCTATAGCATTTCGGCTCAAAAGCCCATATTTTCTTTCTTAAGGACTGAGAGATAGTACATATCGCACCGAATGGTACTTGTCTAAAGCAAGTTAAAGAATTTAAATATTTAGGAAGACTAGTCTTGGAAAACGGGAGAATAGATCTAGAAATAGAAACAAGATGCCACTGAGCCAGTGCACTTAAATAAAACTGACAACGTTATTAACACATGCAAACATATGTAAAAGCGGAAGTATAAGCGCCAAGAAACATAAACAGCATATTCATATCAACACTGTGATACCAGTGCCTGACTAGAACATTATCAAAAGCTACGGCTACTGTAACGGACTATAGAACATAAAACTGTACAGGTGAGCCAGAAGATGGCTGTCATCATTACCTGACATACTCGTGTTGCGTAACTACGTCATTCTCGTCGGAGTCCATGAGCTTGAAGAAGCTTTCGTAGTCGTGGGCATCTAAAAAGTCATCGCTGTCCACGTCATATATGTCGTAGAGGCCGTGCGAGAAAGCGTGCAACTGGGGGCTATTAGCATCCACATGGCTGGTGTACTCATACCTAGAGATACGTCCGTCGTCATCTCTGTCGTAGCTCTGGAACAAACGAACATGATCTTTTCAAGGGTCCAGTAATAGGCACGGGAGACTAAGTGGTGTAGCTGCTTGATGATCGTCTGAGAATCCTGAGGTAGCGGGTTCAAATTCGGAGGGTTCCAGACTCTTTTCAAAACGGGACTTTGATTTTAAGGTCGATCCAGGCATAAGTGGGTTGAGGGTCAGATCTGGGAAGTAAAGGTGGCTAGCTGCTGTTGACCACACCACCCATCAGGTCCTTAATCTATAATCTTTAAAATGGGCACGCAGGCTTGTCTTACATTCGTACCTTCCGAACACTGATCTTTCGTAAAGCAAGTGTACATAGATTTAAACATCTCCAAATGTATAATTAGGTATAATAAAATTTTTGAGCCACCCTGATATAGACTTGGTTCTTCAACGTCCTGTAAAGGATACGCAACTAACTTGTACATTTTAATTTGGACAGGGATAGTCTATCACCCGACAACAGACAAGACTCCTACATGGTATGTGCTTTTAGCACCTGTGGATGTAGTATACCCACGATTTTGTTGCTGTTCTAATTTCCCTTGCAGTCTCATTTGACTATCAGCTATGACCTTCAGATACCACAACAAGAATGGAGGTGGAGGTGGTCATGCAGCTTTCTACTGGCTGGAGAGCCCAACACACACACACACACAAACACACACACACACACACACAAACACACGCGCGCGCACACACACACACACACACACATCGCGACTGTAACTGACTCAGAAAGCATACTGAAGAAGGTCAGGAAAGGCATGCTCGTACAGTGTGGCATAGTTCGTTGCGGAGGTCAAGGGTGAGGAGTATTGTATGGATCTCTTCTCCGGGTCCCGCCGGTGTGTTGGGAAATGAATAGGCGGCCAGAATGGCAGGCTCTGCACAACTTGGGGTAACAGTTATGCATAATAAGGTAGATATGGTTACGGGAAGCGTGTTCAATTCGGAGAAGCAAATAAATTACCACAGTCTGGTGAGAGTGATGCAGCGGGGTGTGACGAAGGATTTTGGCTGATGTTCGACGCTCAGAGGGAAGGCGAGACGGATGTATAATCAGAGTGCTACTGGCACCATTGGTATTGGAACTTTGCGTTGGCTGGTGAAGATGGGGACGGAGCGCTTATGAGAACGCCCCGAGTGTTGTGATGTCGGTTTTTGAATCAACTCTGCTCAACTCTATGACTTTGTGGGACTGCATAAGTAAACTTACCCTGAAATGACAACAATGTGAACTTACCCTGAAGTTACTGTCAACTTCAGACAGTGTTAAAATACCGTCCTTGTTGGCGTCGCTGACATAAAACAAGGCTGCTGCTGTCACGTTGTAGGGTTTGAGGTCAAGTCCCTGACTGGAAGCATAGCCTACGGCCAGCAGAACGATGGCCAGTTTAAGTATCATGGCGATCTAAGAAGAAGATAGGAAATCCATGCAATTGTGAACACATACGTAAAACAGTTGTAAAGAGCATTAGTCGCTACAGCATTGTAACTAACATTGTGTACTAGTGTATCAACGTTTCTCTGTGGCCTATTTGGAAGAGACTAAAAATCCCACATTGGACTGTACAGTTCTAGCAGATGCTGGTCCCAAACTAGCGATACAATGGTCCACAGGGACTCATAGTTGCCTCCTTCTACTGCCACTGCTGCTGCTACTACTCCTCCTCCTCCTCCTTCTTCTCCTCCTCCTCCTCCTACTACTACTACTACTACTACTACTACTACTACTACTACTACTACTACTACTACTACTACTACTTCTACGACTATTATTACTACTACTACTGCTGCCGCTGCTGCTACTACTACTGCTGCTGCTACTACTACTCCTACTACTACTACTACCACTTCTACTAAAACTACTACTACTACTACTACTACTACTACTACTACTACTACTACTACTACTACTACTACTACTACTACTACTACTACTACTTCTGCTGCTTCTGCTGCTATTACTAATACTACAACTGCTGCTGCTGCTACTACTACTACTAATACTGCTGTTACAACTGCTCCTACTACTACTGCTGCTGCTGCTGCCACTACTGCTGATGCTGCTACTACTACTATTGATGATGCTGCTACTGCTGCTGCCGCACTACTACTACTACTACTACTACTACTACTACTACTACTACTACTACTACTACTGCTACTGCTACTACTGACGCTACTACTACTCCTACTACTGCTGCTACCGCTGCTACTACTACTGCTGCTGTTACTACTACTACTCTTACAACTACTACTACTACTACTGCAGCTTCTGCTGCTACTACTACTACTACTACTACTGCTACTACTACTACTCCTACTACTACTACGGCTGCTGCTGCTGCTATCCCCACCACTACAATTACTACTACTACTACTTCTGCTGCTGCTGCTTTTGCTGCTGCTGCTACTACTGCTGTTGCTGCTGCTGCCGCTACTACTACTACTGCTGCTACTACTACTACTACTACTACTACTACTACTACTACTACTACTACTACTACTACTACTACTACTACTACTACTACTACTACTACTACTACTACTATGGCTGTTGCTGCTGCTATCACCACCACTACTATTACAACTATTGTAGAGCCAAACGTGGACATTAACATATCATCATAATATACATTGCTAGTATAGCAAGTTGCAGAACGTCCCTCTCATGGAGGTCTGCCTAAAAGAAGCTAGGTTTTTCGCTGCCTCTCCCACTACGTTTATTTTTCTACCCAAGGTGTCACTTATATCATGCTGGTCGGCCCATACCCTTTATTATTGGTACCATGCCTTCTGCTATCCCCCCTCCCCATCAATCCAACATGGCTTTTAATATTTCGAAATATTTCAAGAAAGCTGTTAGGAGAAAGTAATCAATCAGTGAATCTTTCATGCATTTTAGCAGTTATGAGAAGTGATCAATAAGTGAAATTGTCATGAAAGTTAGCTGTTAGGAGAAAGTAATCATTCAGTAAAATCTTTATGTATTTTACCTGTTAGGAGAAAGTAATCAATAAGTGAAATGTTCATGCACTTTAGCTGTTAGGAGAAAGTAATCAATCAATGAAATGTTCATGTAGTTTAGCTGTTAGGAGAAAGTAATCAATCAGTGAAATGTTCATGCATTTTAGCTGTTATGAGAAAGTAATCAATCAGTGAAATGTTCATACATTTTAGCTGCTAGGAGGAAAGTAATCAATCAGTGAAATGTTCATATATTTTAGCTGCTAGGAGGAAAGTAATCAGTCAGTGAAATGTTCATACATTTTAGCTGATAGGAGAAAGTAATCAATCAGTGAAATGTTCATGCAATTTAGCTGTTAGGAGAAGTGATCAATTAGTGAAATTATCATGCATGTTAGCTGTTAGGAGAAAGTAATCAGTCAGTTAAATCTTCAATATTTTAGCTGTTAGGAGAAAGTAATCAATCAATGAGATTCACAGATGCTAACTGCTAGTTGTAGGAGCAAAATATAAACTTTCTGAAATTTTTGTGACTTTTTTTGCAAATATACAAAGCTTAGTCACTGATATAATATCGCAACAATTAATTTAACTGTACTGAGAAAGAAAGACACATTCATTTGTCGTGATTGACTTTAAATGTGAAAACGGTTTTTTGATCTCAACATACAATACCTACTTGCTGACGTGGAGCCGACGTAAAGCTTGGATATCTATAACAGTCAGACTCTAGAGTCGCCGACGCCTTATTGACAAGGATGTCTGGCAACTAAGAGGGCACAACTGACGTGCGTACCAAGCTAAATTATCTCCTCTTATCTTCGTGTTCTTCGTCCATTTGTCACATGGGCAGTTTACATTTAAAAAGTAGAAGTTTCTTTTTAACTCATTTCTTTTTAAGATCCCGCCTATTAAGTCAATGGTTTAGGTTCACGTCCCCTGTAAATGTAGGACACATAAATAAACCGATAGGAAACAACTTAAGGCCATAGAAGCATCATGCAAAACAAACAATATATTGTTCGACACATACAGAAAAATGTAGAAAAATAGATGGACACATTAGACAACACAAACATTGAAATGTTACAGTTACGATACAGTGAATTGAACCGGACATCTCTAAACGATGACGGCACCTCGCTACATCAAAAAAGTGTATGACTCGTGACAACCTAGGCAAGCCTAAATAAGGTGTCTTCATTGGGCAAACTGTTTAGACGCATGATTATGTTTTCGACTTTTAGGGCGCTGTAGTTGACTGGTCTTGCTGCTTGTACGTACCATTTGTTGGGCGGGTAGACAGGGGGCGGGGGGGGGGGGGGGGGGGGACTTGAGCATGAGGATTTAGGGTCGAATGGCTAGAGCAGTAGCTACCGATTTTGTCGGTCTGGATTTTAATTTTTCTCCTGAGACGGGGACAAATCTTAGTTACCTTGCTGAAGATTCAAACACGTGTCTTCTGAATGAGAGCGCAAAGTTTTTGCTACTCGGGCAGTCACTATCGAGGGGGTGCCAGACAATTTTCTGAATTTGTCGAGAATTATCTTGGAAGTCGACGCGGTTGGTTAGAGAACTAGGCACTCAACCTCATCTGTTGTGGCACATGTTGAGTAAATGTCTATTTTCTGAAATCACAATAGCCGTTCCTGATATTTCAGGCTCTTTAACGTTTCTACATTTGCCGACTGGGAAAAGGAAACACAAAATTATTTTACTGACTGGCCCAGACAGAAAAAAAATTTAGATAGATTTTATTTACAAAATTCAATGCTTCATAATTAGCTTTTCCTTTACAGGGCGTTGCAGAACCAACCCCAGCACTTTACGGCTGTTGTGGTTTTTCTAGATAAATTTACGTCCAGTAGTTTGCCATTGCTGTCTAGACGGTCGGCTTTCGGTACTACGGTCAAAACAACCACAAGACAAACCGTCCGCAGCAGGGTTCGAGCCCAGCACTCCGACATTACGAAGCGCCTTCGCAACGCCTAAGTCACAGACGCCGACAAATGCAATGCTACCAAACGTAAATATTCAGCTAGTGCAGGGCTAAGGAGAAAGCACACACAGCAGAGAGGAATGCAGGCAGGTGATTCCTCTCTCTCTCTCTCTCTCTCTCTCTCTCTCTCTTTATCTTTCTCTCTCGTTCTCTCTATCTCTTTCTCTCTCTCTTTCTCTCTCTCTCTATCTCTCTCTCTCTCTCTCTCTCTCTCTCTCTCTCTCTCGTTGTACCCCACCAGGACATCAAACAAGCGATAAACAGCTGGTGACACAAGGTGCCGCTATGCGAATAAGGATCACCCGTGGAGAGGTCACGGAAACCCATTTCAGTCGTTAGGCCAGATTTATGGCCGGACTTTTTTCAGGGCCCCCGGCAACGACTAAAAATAATCAGGTGATATTTTCAGTAGCGAATCTCCGGGACTCGGGATGCTAAAGAAGAAAGAGAACGTTTCTAAATTTGAATGTTTATTTAACGCAAAGCTTATGAGAAAAGGCCATTAACAGTTATAAACGGACTCAGTTGATATTTGTAGCAATAAAAAAAACCAATATAAATAAGTCAAGTAAAGGTCCCTTTTCCACGCCTTTAGGCGTATATGGCATTTAAAGCTAGACCTATATTTTATAGACCAACGGCACAAGATGGGTGATGTGGTCAGCATCACGCCGGCTGCCTCTACTTCCCAGGACTGCACCCGGTACCCACTCAAGGCTGGGTCGACCTAGGAGCCAAGGGCATTTTTGAAGAAAAGTCCGGCTCCGCCAGGGAGCGAACCCACGACCCTCCGATCCGCGGCGAGCGTTTAGCCGCTCTGCCATGGCGACTCTCAAATTCATCATCATGTAGCAGGCCCTATGCAGAACGTCGCTCTCATCACAGTCTGCCTGAAAGAAACTCGGGCTCTCGCCAGTTCTCCTGCCTCGTACTTTCACACTCCCAAATTAAACAATGTATTTCCAGTAAATGCTAATTTAAAAAACGTATATGTTTTACAGTTTTCTAAGATTTATCATTATCAACGTCTCTCTCATCACAGTCTGCCTGAAAGAACCTTAGTCTCTCACCAGATCTCCCGCCTCATGTACTTTTATATTTAATTAATCACTTATATCCTGTGCCCATCTTCGTGATGTTCGTCCCCTGCTCCTCCTTTCTGGTACCTTGATTTTTGTTATTATTTTTTTTCCGATTCTTCCATGGTGCTTGATATGTTTAAAATATTTCAGCAAATCTTCCTTTGGTCAGATCTTTAAAAATTTCAGTATTTCTTTTCTCTTTTGCCCATGGCATTCAGAAAATCTTTCTATATCATTTCAGCTCAAAAGGCCATATTTTCTTTTTAAAGGACTGGAGATAATCCATGCCTCACATCCGTATGTTGCTACAAGGAAGATGCATGCTCTCATAATTTTAATTTTGATCTCCCTGCT